ATTTTTACCACTATGACATTATCCATCTTTTCAACCCTTTGACAATCTGATGGATTAAAAGCAAATACAATCTCATTGTTTCATTTTGCATTTTCTTGGTGGTGGAATAAGCGCTTAAACGATTTTAATTTCCTTTTTTCATTTTCTAGGTAAACCCAGAGTTAATAGTAGGGTGTTCATGGATTCTAGGTGAAAGGATTGGCCAGGGATGGCAGTTGGCTCTCATGTTGTTGTTAGTTTCTAATTTTACCAAATTATAATCAGCTCGTGTGGCCTGTGTGATTTCTGCTTTTTGGAATTTGATGAGATATGCTTCATGATCTAATTCTTGGTCAGTTTATGCAATTGTTCCATGTATGCTTAAAATAATGTGTTTTCTTTGTTTATTAGATACAAATTTCCACATAAATCATATTTGGTTAATTGCTTTATTAAAATCCTCTACTCTTACATATTTTTAGTCTTCTCGAAAGACTCTAGAAGTATGATAAAAATTTCCCTCTATGACACAAATCAACTAATTTTTCTTTGTATTTCTATTAGTGGTTGTTTTAAAGACCTCCATGTTGTATAGTTAAGTACAAAAAAGATTCGTGAATTTTTTTTTTAAGATTTATTTATTTATTATTTGAGAGAGAGAGAGAGAGAGCATATATGTGGGAGGGAGGGCAGAGGCAGAAAGAGAATCTCAAGCAGACTCCCCTCCCCATTAAGAACAGAGCCTGATGTGGGGCTTAATCTCACAAGCCTGAGATCATGACCCTGAGATCATGACCTGAGCCGAAATCAACAGTCAGACATTTAACTAACTGCGCAACTTAGGTGCCCCAGGTTTGTGAATGTTTTATCTTCTTGGCAGATATCTTTCATCAATGTGAAATATTCCTCTTTGTTTTTTTGAATTTTTTTTGTCTTAGATTGTATTTTGTCTGAAATTTATATTGCTAAAAGTACATTCCTTTTATTAGACCTTGCCCAGAACATCTTTATTTTCCAACTTACTGAGTCCTTTCCGAATATGTAGGCTTGCAGTGTTCCCATCTGTTGGAGTGGTTCTTTGATGTGACCCTCTTGGACTGTGGTTTCTTCATGGACTTCATAATCCTACCTGCCTTCTGTTTTTCAAAGATTCTTAATTGTCTCTTGTTTATACAATGGCATGCCTTGTTTTCTAGCACTATTATAAATTAAAATGTGTGCGTATGTGTGTGTGTTTTCCTGTCATTTAAGGCAGGAAGGAGAGAGGACATTTTATGCTTAGGCTGCCTTCTTAAACAGTCCTATGCTTTCCTTTATTCTAAATTTCCTTTCCTATTCCTATTCTTAAAACATCCTTTCCTTTCCTTCCAGCTTAGTTGATCTGGATACTGAAGGTGTTGTGAGAGAGATGGTACAGAACAAAGTCTGTGAATATGTTTAGTCAGCATGCACCCATTGAAAAGCTACTTTGGTTTCCATTTCTTCATGGCCCAAAAGTTGATTTCAGGCTGAAATGCTACAACTTGAGTTCCACTAGCATGTATTACTCAGTAATAGCTTACAGAGCTCAATGTTATCATCTTACCATCCCATTTCCATAAAGGTCTGTTTAATGTGTAAACAGTCCATTTTAGACAGCACTACTAGTAACATCACAATATTGCTATTCTTCTGGGTGATTTATTGGTCATACATATATCCTAATTTCTTCCATGGGAGAAACATGTTTAAAGGCCACTAAATGGACTATTGGCAAAGCCTGGCACAAACTAACTGCAGTATAACTCTTACCAAGTTTTGGACATTAAAAGTAGCATTTAGAATGTACTATTTTTTGAATTATTATTATTTTTTGAGAGAGAGAGAGAGAGTGCATGCACGAGTCGGGGGAGGGGCACAGAGAGAGAGAGGATCCTAAGTAGGTTCCACGCTCAGTGTGGAGCCCCACGTGAGGCTCGATCCCGTAACCCTGAGATCATGACCTGAGCTAAAATCAAAAGTCGGACACTTAACCAACTGAGCCACCCAGGCACCCCTAGAATGTACCATTTTTGAAGTCAGAACCCACCCCCCTCCCCCATATTCTTAAAGGGCTAGCATTTGATTTGCTCTCTTATTTTGTTTAAAACATTCTTACCTCATTTTCTATGTTTTATCTTTTCATGCCAGGTACAGAGTTTGTTTTCATTTATAGATCATCAAATTCCAACTGTAGGATTTCAGACTAAAAAGGGCTTTAGAGTTAATTGGGTTAGGCTCATCATATGTTTGAGAGGTTTTGTGACTTGTTTGAGTTTGTATATTGACTGTGGCAGAGTTGGCATCAGAATGTGAGTTGTTGACTCCAGCACACTATTTACACATAAGTTTACACTTACAAAATATTTAAAAAATCCCATCTCATCCTCAAATTACTAAAAAAAACCCAGGATAGACCAGATGGCGAGCGTGAATAATCTCAATTTTCATAGGAGGGAACACTGAAGGGGAAGGATGAATTAATGACTTGCTTAAAATTATCCACATCAGGAGTTGTCAGAGGAAAAAATTAAGAGTCTTTGCTATTAGGCCTGTGTATTTAACAGCCTCTCCATCTTATCGTACAAGGCCACTTCCTGAAAGGGCAGAGGTGCCTTCTCGAGGAACTATCTCATGGTTTAATCCCAATAGGAACCCAAAATGTAAGTTCATTGTTAAATTGTTAACATATCAAGTGTCTTCTTGATTTGTGGTGACCTTAAGAAAAAAAACTCAGCAAAGTCAGAGCCAGTTTATCCATTGTAAATTGGAGAATGATTCACCTATTATTCCAGATAAAGTAAAAGGATGAATCACAGTGTTGCCTTAAATTCCTTCCAGCTCTTTGTTTATTGTTTCCTCTTATATGGAATTCCATTTATTCATTAATCTATCCCTAGCTCCTAACAAATGGGCCATATACCAGGCCCTCAAGTAAACATTTAGTACTAGGCCTTTGTGCTCTGTGTAGGATTTCTAGAGCTCTCTTTCTACCTCTAAGTTATGAATAGTTCTTTAGACTCTAAGGAGTTGGCAAATTCTTTTCGACTCTAAAAGTCTGCAAACTAAGGCCGGTGGACCAGCCACATGTTTTTGTAAATAAAAACTTTTATTTGAACACAGTTGGGCCCATTCATTTGTATATTATCTATGGCTGCTTTCCCTACAGGGCAGAGCGGAACAGAAATGACAGCGACTGAATGGCCTGCAAAGCCTAAGACATTTACTCTCTGGCCCTTTGCACAAAAAGTTTGCCAATCCTTGCATTTAGAATCTATTTATTGCCTTCTATGGTCAACCTGGAGTTGAGCCAGTGTCTAGCTAAACAACAAATGCGCCATGGCAAATGTTCATAGATCAGCAAAGTGCTAACCTAAGTCATGGAAGTCTAATTTAGTGTTACAGATTCATAGGCTTAGCTACTATGTAAATTAGCAAGCATAAGTAATAATGATTTCTATTTGCACACTTTCTAGATTATGAAATAGTTTATATGTGTTATCTCATTTGATCTTTCCAGTAACCTTAGAAAGTAGGCAGGAAACAGATACTGAGACATTGCATATCCTAGAGTTGAACTCAAGAGTCAAGCATTTTTAGCAGCTAAAATGATTCCTTTATCTCTGGAAAACATTTCCTTCAGGAAAAACAAAAAGCAGGAAGGAGTTATTAACATTTATCATCTTATAATGCACTGTTCTAAAATAATGTATTGGTAGATGATTTGCAATTAATTGTACTTTGTAATAACATGTACGGTCTTCCTAATTTGTGGTTTTATGTTAATAAGATGATAATAAAAATAACATGAGCATTTAATCTAAGGGTTTAAAAAGTCAAAATAAATATAAGCCTAACTGAGTTATAAGTGAAAAATACAATTTTAAATTTTTGAAATCTTAGAACCTGCAAGATAAGGCAGTTATCTGGCTTCCTTGGATTAACAAAATTGAAAAACAAAAAACAAAACTCTTGGTGGAGTAGGATAAATTAAGTCTTAGTGAAAAATCTGAGTATACAGGAAAAAATATGAGTACTACATATGGGAAAAATAGTGAAATATGGGTTGATATAGTACTCTCTTGTGGGTCAAATCAGATTGAGATAAATACTTCAGTGAAGGCTACAAACCCATCGATGACGGTTACGATATATTTTTTGCATTATGTAAGAATTGATCTCTGTGTGATCAAACAACTTATGAAGGATTTCTAGTTGACCAAAATATGGTTGTATCAGTCCTGGAACAGCATTAAAGTCAGTGTAGCATACTGTATGATTCCAACTATATTCCAACTCTGGAGGAGGCAATACTCTGAAGAGTGAAAAGATCAATGGTTGCCAGGGTATGGGAGAGGGGAGGGACGAACAGGAAGAGTACAGAGGATTTTTAGGGCAGTGAAACTATTCTATATGATACTCTAATAATGGATACATATCATTATAAATTTGTCCAAACTTAACGCCAACAGCAAACCCTAATACAAACTATGGTCTTTGGGTGATGACGTGTCAACACAGGTCCTTCAATTGGCACAGATATACTACTCTGGTGAGGAGTGTTGAGAGTGGAGGAGGCTATATTTGTGTGGGGGCAGGGAGTACATGGGAAATCTCTATACCTTCCATTCAAGTTTGCTGTGAAGCTAAAATTTTTCTAATAAGGATATTAAGAAAAATTAGTACTGGATGGCTGGGTGGCTCAGTCAGTTGAGCATCTGACTCTTGATTTCAGCTCAGGTCATGATCTCAAGGTTGTGGGATCGAGCCTCGCATGGAGCCTGCTTGAGGTTCTCCCTCTCCCCTTCCCCCCACCCCCCCCCAATTTATTACAGTGGGCTAGGAAGATACACATTCTGTATCTTCCTCAGAAGCTTTATACATGTGTATTAAATATGTTTGGTTTTTGTTTTTGTTTTTTTGGCATACTGTGATATGAATACAAGAAAAGCAAAGGCCTAGAATCCTTTCAGGGTAATGGATCCAGAGGAAAATGAACTTACTTCACACCCGGATTGAGTTTCCCATGAACATGACTCTTTCTCCTGAGGGAGAACACCTCTTTGGAAAGCATGGTCTCCCAGGCACGTTGGACACAAGGAAGACTCAAAATCTGGCTCCCCTGGAGGGATGTGCATGACCGAGGGGCCTGTGTACTTCAGGCTGGGACTCTGATGCTTGTCCACACTGACCATTGGGCTCTTGATCCATCTTCGTACCTACAACATGCAAAAGAAGAAAATGCATTTTACCTCCTGTGATGTTTAATGGGACTCCAGGGGGCGACTTGGTGGATGGATACTCCTAAAGGGAGAACTCAGTCTCATTACTTCTCCATCTTTCAAGTCTTAATACAATCCGAATGGGTCAATTAGGACCAATCGCTTTTTAGGCATGTGTGGGTTTTGGCTGGTCATTTCATCTCGCCCAGTCTGTCTCCCTGTCTGGGGATGATTGGGATAATAATATTTCCTCCCAGGTTGTCATGAAGATTTCACAATGTTTTTAAATGCCCAATTGTTTTGCCTGGCACATAGTGTTCAGTAGATGGTGACTATTTTACTTTTACTCTTACTATTACGATTATGCTGACAGAATGATTCACAAATGTCTTTGACGAATTGCTAGTTATTCTTACTGGAGGAAACACTAACCTACGATTGCTAGCTTGGGACCCAATTGCTGCGAAATGAACTGACATATATTTCACTATTGCAAAAACGTGATTATAAAAGAAGTTGCTTCTGGTTAAGAAATTATCTCACAGTTGTTTTTAAAATCTGAAAACTCACCACTTGTTTTGTTTACATGTAGAATTCCTGTAAGACACAGAGAATATATAAAGCTTTTCTAACATGAAAAGGGATATTATTTCTATAGCATTTTAAATATAAAAAGCATTGTTGTAAATGTTTGACATCCATTGTCTTGTTTAATCCTCAGAACAATTTTAGTATTACTAATCCCGTTTTACAGATGGGAAAACAAAGGCACAGAGAGCTGAAGCAAATTTTCCCAAGACACAGTGCTGGTATTGAGCAAAGTCACCTTGAATCCAGAATCTATTCCTTTATGAGAATGGAATTTTAACAAGTATCACAGCACTGTAAGACTTGTGGTCACTGAATGCTTGAAATGAATCTTGATTTAATATGTGTCTTCCATGATCTTTGAAACTGCTGAGGATTTAACCCAATTAGTGAAATCAGCATATACCAAAAGAACAAAGAAATAAAATGACAGTACTGAATTATAGTTAGTAATGTTACAATTAAATATTTTAAGGATAGACGGAGAAGAAACTAAAATTACAATAGCAAAGGAAGACTTGAGCAATTTGATGGACTATTATGCTATCACTAATAATAAATATGAAGACTCTGGCAATATGGAAAATGCTTAGAACATAATTATATCAAAAAAAAGCCAAATACAGAATTGTTCAATCACTATAATTACAAATGTAAAAATATATGTACTACCTACAGACAAAGCAAGAAAGTAACAGGCAAAATAAAAACTGTTATATTCATTGTTATGTTCATTGATTATGGGTGTTTTAGTTTTCCTTCTTTTTACAGTGTAATTTTTCAAAGAATAATTTCTTTTTTTTTAAGGTTTTATTTATTTATTTGACAGAGAGAGAGAGAGATAGTGAGAGCAGGAACACAGGCAGGGGGAGTGGAAGAGGGAGAAGCAGGCTCGCCGCCGAGCAGGGAGCCCGATGCATCCATCCCAGGACCCTGGGATTATGACCTGAGCCAAAGGCAGATGCTTAATGACTGAGCCACCCAGGCACCCCAAGAATAATTTCTTTTAAAGTTTATAAGAATCTCAAACAGTTAAAATCATCATATTTCTTTCTTTGGTTACATATGTGTCTTTTAATTGCTTTATTTATATGTACTCTTTTCAGTAGCCACTTAAAATACCTTTTTGAGTTTACCATCCAAATGTTAATATTTGGGAGGTATCCTTCAGTATTTCTTGCACTCCAGGGTACCATTAACATAGTAGGTATATTCAAAGTGTTTATTTGATTCATTAATGAAAGTCTAAATGAAACTCTAAAAGTTTGAGACTACAGTAGAATCTCTTTTCCTGATGTTAAGAATAAATGTGTTTTGTTTTGTCTTTTTAAGATTTATTTATTTATTTATTTATTTATTTGACAGAGAGAGACACGGGGAGAGAGGGAACACAAGCAGGGGGAGTGGGAGAGGGAGAAGCAGGCTTCCCATGGAGCAGGGAGCCCGACGTGGGGCTCGATCCCAGGACCCTGGGATCATGACCCGAGCCGAAGGCAGATGCCCAACGACTGAGCCACCCAGGCGCCCCAAGACTAAATGTGTTTTTGATCAATCTAAAAAGTACTAAATTTCATTAGAGATGGAAAATGTTTTTTATTACTCTTATTCAGAAGGTTTTGAGCTTGAAGTCTGGTGACCATTCTTGATTAGTTGCCAACCTTGTATTTTAAATTCAATCTTTTATTCTGGCTTACTTTCAAGGTCTTTTTTGCCAAGTAGATTTAACTTTGGGGTTTCTATGAATAGAATTTTAAAAAGATTTATCTTCAAATGAATTTATATGGCCTGACTGATTAAGAATCTTGGTATATTGAAATGTAAATCTTAAATTTATGGACCACGTTATTTAGAGTAAATCTTATGCAATACTGTCTTACAATTATTCAATTTATAATGGAAGAATGTCCATGTGACCGAATCTAAGTTTTCATTACGTTATAGAAAAAACAAACTGGTTTTACCAAAGGACAAGAATTTAGAGACATTATATCTCAATTCAAAGTATACATTGATCTATAAACTTAAGTGATCTGTTGTGTATTAGAAATCACTGGGACTAAGAATCACATAGAGAACTGTCATTTCATTTAATGCCCAGCTAAGAATTACCCAAAAGAGTTCAGATGACCTTGAGCATATGGTGTCAAATAACCAATAGATGTCTTTATAGAATTTCAGAGTTGGAAGAGCCCCAAAGATATTAGTAATTTGCCCAAAGACACACTAAATTATCATGTGGTTAAAACTATACCTAATGGTTTAAGCAATTCATTGAACCAATTTCTACAAGGGTAGAAGCTGTCAAACTCAATATCTTCAGAGGCTGTCAGGAACAGGAAATGTGTAAAACCCTAGGAACAGTGTATGAACATAGGGAGTGGTAGGAACTATGGCAAACTGGGAGTGCAATTAAATTTAAAAACAAAACAAAGAAAACCACCCCAAGCAAACAAATAAACAAGGCTGTCAAACAAAACCCTAGAAAAATAGACCTCACACCTTTAAGGGTCACCACTTGACCCCTGAAGTTATTCCTTTTTTTTTTTTTTAAGATTTTATTCATTTATTTTGAGGGAGAGAGAGAGAGAGTGCGAGAGAGTGCACGAGCGGGGGAAGGGGCAGAGGCAGAGGGAGAGAATCTCAAGCAGACTCCTGTGCTGAACACCATGCCCAATGCTGGACTCCATCCCACAACCGAGAGACCGGGACCCAAGCTGAAATCAAGAGTTGGATGCTCAACCAACTGAGTCACCCAGGCACCACCCCCTGAAGTTATTCTACCAGGTAGAAATAAGTATGAACTAGAATTCCATGAAGTACAAATAAAATGATTTGATCTCTTCTAACTTTTTATTCTCTTTTTTTAAGACTTTATTTATTTATTTGAGAAAGAGTGAGAGAGAGAGGGAGAGAGAGAGAGAGAGAGAGAGAGAGAGAGAGAGAAGGAGCAGGGGGAGGGGCAGAGGGAGAAACAGGCTCCCTGCTGACAGGGAGCCCGATGTGAGACTTGATCCCAGGACCCTGAGATCATGGCCCAAGCCAAAGACAGATGCTTAACCGACTGAGCCACTCAGAAGCCCCATCTTCTAACGTCTTCAAAAAACAATCTAGGGTGCCTGGGTGGCTCAGTTGGTTAAGCGACTGCCTTCGGCTCAGGTCATGATCCTGGAGTCCCAGGATTGAGTCCCGCATCGGGCTCCCTGCTCAGTGGGGAGTCTGCTTCTCCCCCTGACCCTCTTCCCTCTCGTGCTATCTCTCATTCTCTCTCTCTCAAATGAATAAATAAAATCTTTTAAAAAAAATCTAATGCTCTCAACATTTTAACTTTCATTCATTCATCATTCTTTTTTTTTTTCTTTTAAATATTTCATTTATTTAAAGAGAGAGAAAGAGAGAGAGCCCACACCAGCAGGGGAGGGGCAGAGGGAGAGGGAGAGAGAGCATTTCCAGTAGACTCTGTGCTCAGCACAGAGCCTGACCCGGGGCTCAATCTCACGACCCTGAGATCATGACCTGAGCTGAAACCATGAGTTGGATGCTGAGTTACCAGGTGCCCCTCATTCATCGTTCATTATTGATGACCAACTGTATGTCAGGCATAACCTAGCCATTCCTGACACCTTCCCTTATGGAGTTTGAGTTATGGCTAAGGGAATAAATTTATTTATTAAGGGCATAAATTATTTATTTAATAAAATGAATAAGTGAATTATAATATGTAAGGTGGTAAAAGTAGCAGAGAGGATTGATCAGGATCACTGGAGATGGGAGGGCTCTACTCTAATTTTATGAGAAAGGAAGGCCTCCCCGAGAAGGCAGGCAGCTTTACAGTAAAAACTTCCGAGGTGCTAAAGCTTTAAGACATCAAAGTGAGCTATCAAATAGGCACCTGGACCATCAGGTCTGAATTTCAGAGGAAAGATTCAAGCTGCAAACATGAATTGGAGACTGGAAACAAACAACCATCTTCCCCTGAAGTCTTCTGGGGCAAAAGACCCAATGACTTGCCTGGAGCTAGGAGGGGTTAAGCTCATATTTCTGTAAGGTAAGGGGCTTTGATTATTAGAATCTATTATATTTCACTTAAACTTACTGAAACCTGTGATTTACTCAAGTCTTCTAAGAGCAGGTATGTGTTTTGTGCCTTAACACATTCCAGGAGGGCAAGGTTTGGGTAGGGGTGCTATTTCCTTAGAAAGCCCCAGGGTTCCCAATAACCTTCAAGAAATTAACCCATTCTGAGTCTTAGGGACACGGGAACGTGATATTCTCTCTCTGTCTCTCCAGAGAATGTGGCGAGGGAAATTTAGAAATATTCCATTTTTCCAGAAGCACCAGGGAGAAAGGTGATACGAAAACAGGTACAGTGATCCGTTTTGTGGGACTGTTGCTGTCATTCACGACCTGCT